GCCGGAGAGATGCCTGCATGGGACTGTCTACTGTCCCAAAGATGTGGCCAGGGCAGAGTTCTCTCCTGCTGATGGTGGCCACTTCCACTTGCTAGGGACCGTAGCACCCCTGTGCCTGCACTCACAGCCAGCACCAGGGCAAGAGGGGCTCTGGGTTGTGGGGCATTTTGACAATCCACCTCTGCGGTCCCCTAACCTCTGACCCAGGGGCTCTCATGGCTCCCGTGCTCCTCAACACCATTTAAGGTCTTTCTTTTCTCTGGGTCCCGTCTGCCCAAATTCTGCCCAGCTTGCTCCGAGAACTTTCTCATCAGTGGTAGGAAGGATGGAGCTTCGGAGCCAGTCAGACCCAGGTTCAAACTCTAATTTACTAGGCTGTGTGACTTTTGGGGAAATTATTTAAACTTTTTTTTTTTTAAAGATTTTATTTATTTATTTGACATAGAGAGACACAGCAAGAGAGGGAACACAAGCAGGGGGAGTGGGAGGGGGAGGAGCAGGGAGCCCGATGCGGGGCTCGATCCCAGGACCCTGGGATCATGACCTGAGCCGAAGGCAGACACTTAACGACTGAGCCACCCAGGCGCCCCTATTTAAAACTCTTGAGGTCTCACTCTTTCCTTCTCTAAAATGGGCTAATAGATGTAGCTGCCACACCCACCTGTTCTGAGGATGAAATGAGCTAGTGCAGCACAGGTTGGGCATCTCACAGGGTCCTGGTCGGTCCCCGGGGAGGGGGTGTGAGGAAGCATGCCCTCAGGGAAAGCTGTCCTTCTATCACGGGGAAGCCCTCCAAACTAGAGGCTGCAGGGCATGCAACGGCCAGGAGATGAGACCAGCTCGGTGGGGACGAAGCGGGGGAAGCTTTGCACATGGCTGGTGGGTTTGCACGGGCCTTTTCCACGGCCATGCTCAGTTTCCTCAGCCCTGCAGGGCAGCACCATGTGCTGAGCTGAGACAGCCTGGGCCCGCCCAACATTTAGCCTTCAATCTCCCCTGCCCCCCAGCACCCAGCACCTGGCAGGAGGGCCCGGGAAAGGCTCCACCTTGCCCCCTCTGGGTGGGGCCAGGCTCCTGCCTGACACCCACCAGAACAGCAGGATGGTGGGAGGTCTGCAGGTGGGCTGGGCCCAGAGCTTTCTTAGAGATCATTTGCGTGTTTGCTTGTGCTTTGCATTTTGGCGGAGAAACACACCCTGGATCCCCATGGCTTCCATTCATCCTGGGGCAGTCTCTACCTCATGCATGAGTTTTCATTTTAAATTTCTCCAAAGAGAACAACAGAGTCATTTTTAGTTGGCTGGTTCGGGGAGCCTTTGAACAGGCCCCTGGAATCCGCGAGGATCAACAGGAGCCAACAGGGCTGAGCACAGGAGGCAGAGGAGGGGCTTTATACCCTCTGGGAGGTCCGGGAGCCCCGAGCACTGATTTATGAGCGGCTTGGCAAAAGCCTATAGTAATATTTATAAATTCCTTCCCCGGGGCTGGATGGAATGTTCTGAGCCGCAGTGAGATAGCACCTTTTTGGGGGATGAAGGGAAGTTAAGTCCAATTATTCAATGACAGGGAATGTGGGTGAGGAGCCGCTGCCCAGATGTCGGCTCCCTGGAGACTCGGGGAAGGAAGCTGATCTGCAGGCCTCCTTACACCCTCAGGGACCCACTCCAGTCAAGGAGCTTTCGGGGGCTCCTCCCCGGTGCTCCAGCCCCCAGGCTTCCCCCTGCCCTACTCCACAAGGCCAGGGACCTACCCCTGCGAATTGTGGTGACCACATTTCACCAACATCTGCCTCGGTGTCAGGGGACAGGACAGGTTCTGGCCACGTGGAAGAAGAACGGGAAAGCAGTTGGAGGGGGCTGAAGACAGACACAGGTGTCCTGAGGGGCCCGAGCCCCGAGGCTGACCTGTGACCGGACACCCACAGTCAGAGCCACGCCCGGCACGGAGGTAGCTGCCGTGAGGGGCCTGCGTGCATGCCAGGCACAATGAAAGGCTCGCACACCCACTGTGAGTTTTGGACCCACCAGCCGAGGCGGGGGATTCCACCGAATCCAAGGGCAGCTGCCCAGCAGAGTCGGCCTCAGGCCTGGCTCCCTGTCCCTAACCCCCCAGGGGGGCAGAGGGGCTGAGCCACGTGGCCAAGCTGGCCGATGACCTTGCTTGGATGAGAAGGACAATGGCAAATGCTTTTTAAAAATTGAGTTCAGGAAAGTAAAACCAAGGGGAAGGGAGGGGAGGGCACATATTCAACCCCGTGGGCCCACCTCGCCCTTGGCGTCTCAGGTTTCCCACCTGCCAGCAGAAGAGAACCCCGTTTCTTAGGGATCTGCGTCCAAGGGCTCCCAGAGGCCTGTTTCCTACCTGCTCAGCTCCCGGCAGAAGTGCTGGAGACGGCAGGCAGTGGTCTGAGGAGCTGTGCTGACTCTGGGGGCAGCGCGGGGAGCTTAGCACCCTCTTTCCAGCCTGCTGGCCCCCTCATCCACAGCCCAGCTCCAGGAACACCGAAAGGAGAAGCTTGGCAGGAGGCCTTTCAACAGCACCCTAGCTCCCTAGCTCCTGCCCTGGCCCAAGGACTCTCCACGAAAGACGCTAAAGCCTATTAAACTGCAGGCTGGGTGGGTCCGGCAGGATGCCTACAGTAATTATAAGACCTGCATTGGCTAAATCACCGGGAGGCTGGGTGGAAGGCGCAAGAAGACACCTCATCCCTTTCTGTCTGAGTGTCAGCGGGCAAATAGGGCCCCGGGCTTGCAGGGGCTTCCGAGGCCGATGCCGGGAAAGCAGGGGTTAAATGCCCACTCTCCAGCCGGGGAGAAGGGCACCTCAGAACCCAGCCCCTCCTTACCTGGTTCTTTGCTTCCGGAAGCCGTGGTCCCATGAAAAACACTGAGCTGGAATCCTTTCGTCCCTGGGGGTGACGTCAGTGTTTCCTTTGGCAGGTGGGACCGTCATGCATGTCTGAACCTTTGAGGCGATGACTCGCTCGGGGCTCTTCTGCACAAGGCCCCTGAGGGAGCTGCGTCCACATCTGGATGCTCCGTCCCCGCGCACGCAGAGGGGCTGGTTGCCAACGCTCCACCTGTAGGTGTTTAGCTCAGCTCCGACAGGCTCGGCCCGCGGTCAGCGCGCCGCCGTCCGATTCCACGCCCGGGGGCGGGGGCAGGGCTCCACAGCTGTACTGCATGGGGGGGGGGTCCTGTCCGAGACCCTGCCCGGCGTCCCCTCAGCCCCCCGCCCTCTTGGACAGAGGGGTGGATGTACGTGGCCAGGCCTCACGGAGTGTTAGAGCTCAAGGGGGTTCCTAAAGGCGAATGCCAGAGTAGTTGCTACTGATTGGGCACCTACTGCATGCTGGGCACGTTAGGTGATCTCTGATCCTCTCGCAAATGCTCGAGAGGCACTGACACAGTCATCAGTCACGCCCCGTCAGTGGAGGCGAAGGGGCTGTGCAGAGGCCGCTCGGTGCGGTCGAGGGCGCAGACCCGCGTGCAATCCCAGCCCCGTCCCTTTCCAGCTGGGGGGCATTGCGCGGATTTCTTGAGCTCCGCCCGTCTCAGCTTCCTCATGTGTGAGACGGGGAAGCTTCCCACAGCAACCACGGCACAGGGTGGTAGTGAGCTAGTGTGCACGCCGGGTGTGCCCCACGGTGCCTCGCGCCGGGGGGGGGGCGGGGGGTGCTGCTCTCTTCATGAAGCGCTCCTGGCGCTCGGCAGCCAGCAACAGTCCCAAGGCCGGAAATCCCAGTCTGTCCAGCCCCAGTGCCCGTGTTCCTCATCTTACATGTCAGGATGCATGCGTGCGGTGGGGGGGGGGTGTGGGGACCAAGGACCTATCCAAGATCAGCCAGCGGCTGCATGACCGTCCCCGGGCCGGCAGCCATCTGTCACCAGCCCCAGGACAGCGCCCACCGCACAAAACACTGCCTTCCCTTGGCACTGAGGTAACCTCTGCGGGGTCCCTTTGACCTCAGGGGGATGCCAGCAAATGCAGGGATAACCATGTCAGTGGCTTTGACGTCACACGTGCTGGACGGGCAGTTCGCACCCTCCGCCGCCCCCGTTCCTGTCACCCCAGAGCCCGCTAGTGATGGGAAGGGGCGACCACCTGTAATTCCCACCTGGAATCCGCTTGGCGCTCCGGGGGCTCGACTGACTTCCCCATTTTATTTGAAATAAACGTTGAAGATGTACCTTCTGTAGGCTTCTCTCTTTTCACTCTGCTTTCCAACGCAAGGTTTCGTGGCCTTTGCAAAAAGCACGACAATGGAGATCCCACCTCGTCTAAACCCCAGACGCATCGAGGATCGTTTCAGTGGGAAGCAGAACAGAAGGATACGTGACAGGGATGCAAGCATTTTTTATTCCCCTGTACTTCCTTCTCCCTCCCGCTCAGATCTCCCTCCGTGAAGCTGAACACAGACGTGTTACAACTGACCCCAGCTTTACTCCCAGCCGCAAAGGACGAAGCACAGACAAACGAGCGCCCGGTGGAAAGGGGGTGATGTTTCTCGGGGAAGCCTGATCGCAAGTGTCAACATCTCCAGCAGCCCCTCACCCAGGCCCGCCCCAGCCCAGCGGCAGACGGAGCCGGGGGAGGCTCCAGAACCGCTCCCCGGCGCTGGGGGCTCCCGCAGCCCCCGCCCCGGTGCTGAGCGCCTTCCAGGGGTCCAGCCAAGGGCTCTATGATGTCACCCTCCCCAGGTGGCCAGTGGGACTTGCACCTGTCCTCTGCGCACTGTCCATGCAGAGCAATGTCACTGCTGCTCCTGACAGGCAGAAGCACCTGGCGTTTGCCGGGCTGGGGGTGGCCCGTGTCACCCAGCTGGGCAGAGGGGGACAGGGGACAAAGGGAGGCCACACAAAGGTGGGCGGAATCACCTGGAACGGAGAAGCGGCAGAGCCCACAGGGGCCAGAGGGACGCAGGGAGCAAGGCCGGCCCCAGGTTCCTGCAGCAAAGCCAGGCGGCCAGGTGGGGGGCCCGCAGCACCAGGCCCGGCCCCTCACTTGGACACCAGCGTGCGGACGAACTCCTCGTAGTTCACCTGCCCGTCCCTGTCCACGTCGGCGGCCCGGATCATCTCATCCACCTCCTGGTCCCCCAGCCTCTCCCCCAGCCTGGTCATCACGTGCCGCGGCTCGGCCCGCTCACCAGGCCGTTGCCATGCTGGTCGAAGACGCGGAGGGCCTCGCGGATCTGCTCCTCGCTGTGCCTGCCCCTCAGCTGCCCGGCCATAACGCCCAGGACCCCGGGGAAGTCCACGGAGCCGTTGCCGTCGCGGTCGATCCCGCCCACCGTGCCCCGCAGCTCGGCCTCCGTGGGGTTCTGGCCCGGGGAGCGCCTGACGGTGCCCAGCTCCTGGGTGGTGATGACACCGTCCGCGTCCTTGTCGAACAGGCAGCAGGCCTCCTTGAACTCGGCCACCTGTTCCTCGCTCAGCTGGTCGGCCATGGAGGGCGGTGGCGGCCGGCGGGGCCGCGGAACAGGTGGCGGTGCGCGGGGCGCCGGCTGGCCGGCCGTCTGGCCCGGGCTTGACTGGCGGGCGCTTAAGAAGGAGCAGGGCGCTCGCTCACACGCAGGCTCCCCGCCCTGCAGCTGCCCCAGGCCGGGTGCTGTTGGAACAGGAGTCCGGCACCAGGAACGAGGCCGGCCGAGGGTTGCGCTGACGCCAGCGCCGGGGTGTGTGTGTGTGTGTGTGTGTGTGTGTGTGTGTGTGTGTGTGTGTG